CACAGTCATGGCAAGACAACCTTCCAATACAGCCCAAAAAAGGGCCTTGATTGAGCCATGTGGGAGCTGGAAGGCTTTAACCCAGGAGCACGGAAGGGACTCAGCTGCAGTGGAAGGATTAGACACTGCCCAGACTTGGACTGAGTGGGAGTGGGTCTGCCTGGCCTCCACGTGGCAGCTTTATCACCTTCCCCCAGGTTGTGTAACTCAGCCCTTACCACACCATGTGCTGTTTGCATTACAGACACTTGGAAGGGCTCCCCCTGCACCCACAGCCTTTGGGTTGGTGCTGGACCACACAGATGAAGAAGCAACCCCTTCCCTGCCCCCTGAAAGAGGAGCCAGGCAGAGGTGCAGAGGGCTGTTAGCAGTGCCTGACAGGGCACAGCCCCAGTGCCACAGCACCACAGCCAGCACCGACCCTGCCACAGCACCACAGCCAGCACCGACCCTGCCACAGCACCACAGCCAGCACTGACCCTGCCACAGCAGCTCTGGGCCAAGCTGCTGAGTGAACAGCAGAATTTACAGCCCAAGTTCCACCCTGCACACCTTTAACGTCCCCAGTGGTCCTGAATTAGGAGATCTCTGGATACTGGCTTACACTTCGGGTCTTGCAGGAATGCACTCTCTGTCCTTTGTTTTCACTTCCCAGTGGCCTTTCCCGTTTGGACTCCGGTGACCAGAGCATTCCCAGAGCCATTCCCAGCGTGCAGCTGCCGTGAGACACCACGTTCAGCCACCATTCCCTTTGCCCTGCAGCTGATCTACGTGTCCGTAGGTCTGAGCACATCCAGCTCATCCCCCTGTTTACGACATCTGGTAGAAAAGTCAATTATGCTCCCCCAAATCCTGTTTTGCTTTAGTAGGGAACCTGCTGCCATTGTCAAGGCTGATTTGCTACACACTTGGTGTGCAGTCTGTGCCTTCAGGAGAGCTACAGCGAGGGTGTAACCAGAAATCCCGCCAGCCTCGTTCAGGAAACGTTTCTGAAGAGTGCCCAGCAGGCTCCAGTGAACCTCAAGTCCTGCCTGTGTACACAGTGCCCACGCAAGGCACTGGTGAGCTCCCCACTGGTGCATTTCCAGGCCTAATGCAGACACCGAACCTTTCCTTGCCATGCTCCAGCGGCTGCCGGTAGAACGGAGCCCCTAATTACATCCAGCCCCTCGTTAGGGCTCAGATTACAAAACCGGATTTCTGTGCCAGACCTTCAGGAAGCAAAGCCATGGGAGGAATCTCACAAATAACCTGCAATTACGTTAATGCAGAGGGCAGGGCCTCCCCTTAAGAGCTGTCAGACTCACTGGAGTGACCCCGGCCGGCTGAGCAGACCAGACGTGATGCCGGGGGAGAGGAGGGTGAAGCAGGAGGTGAATTGCAGCAGGCACAGCTCCGGTGCCTCTGTACCCAGGGCTGTTTAGGAACAGGCAGAAACAAAGCCTGTGGCGTGGGGCAGCCAAGCAGCACAGTGGGGTCTGTGCTGCTGAAGCTCCTTTACACCAGCCTTACTCTTACGTGGGGCAAACACAGCTGCACATTCTCAGTGTAACACAGAACGTGAGTTCCTGAGCGCTCCCCTCACTCTTATACCCATTCCCAGCATTTTTACAGCCCAACAAACTGGGGCTAGGCAGGATCTTTAGAAATTTTCTTGTCCAACCTCCACCTTCAAAGAACCTCCATTTCTCAGATTCTTCACCTTCTCCGTAGCCCTCTGCACGTGTTCCCTGTAGCAACAGACCTGCATACAAGCCACCCAAAAATTTTCAAGCTCAGATCCACACCAGCTCAGGCCCATCTCTGATCTGTGAGCAAACACTCTTTATCTATAAACAACTTGCTCTTTCCCAACTCCCTGCAGCAGGAATGCAGCCTTGGCTGTTTCCAGGCAGAAGCTGTCTCACACAGCCCTGTAATTCCCCAACATGTTGACTTCCTCTGTTTGATCATAGAATCATAGAATCACAGAATCATAGAATCATAGAATCAGCCAGGTTGGAAAGGACCTCTGAGATCATCAGGTCCAACCTCTGACCCACTCACTACCACCATGGTTACTAGGCCATGGCACTGAGTGCCACATCATTTTATTGATCTGCTCTACAGAATGTGGGGAGTCTCTCTCATTCATTGTTCCTACTAAACTCAACTTGCTTTGCTATAAACTGAATTTATAGATGATTTATTGGCATTACAATGACACCCTCCATGCCATTGTTTTTCCCTCTTTTCGCACAATCCTTTGGTACATTTTGAACCCTGGTTATAATGACAGGCTTGGGGTCTTGCACCTTTGTAAACATTCAGATGTAATTACAGAGCAGAGTGAGGGAATTGAAGCCAAAGGAACACAGAGCAGCTCAGTACCAATTTTCCCTGCCCAGTGGAAAAGGAAGTCCCTTCCCATTCCAGGGAACAGAGCAGGAGAGGTCTGTGCCAGCCGGGCATCACACTGGCCTGGCACAGGGCCTGGACACCTTCCCTGGCATCTGAGCTCAGAGGAAACACAGGCTGAAGAGGAACACACAAATCCAGTAAGTTTTAGAAAGGAGTTTTTAAAGAAGTGAAATAGCTGTGTGGATATTGGAGGTTCTGCTGGCACACATCAGGGTGTGGGTACAGGGAGCTCGAGGGAGCCTGACCTGCTTCCTCTGGAACACAGGGAACCTTCTCTACTGCCCTTGCTCGGGACAGCTCAAAGCTCTGAGTCTGACCCTCAGCCATCTGAGATAAGACCTCTTGTACCCCTTGAGTGGGTAAATTTAGCACAGATGTTTCTGGAAGCAGCTCCCTTACAAGGCATCCATTGCTGGCTTACAGGGAAGGAATGGTTTGAACCTAAAAGGAATAACCCCAAAATTCTGTCTCCCTTATTCCAGTGCAGCTACTCACCATGGAAGCACTGAATTCCCCCCCCTCCCCACTGAACCATCTGCTCTATTTATTATACCCAAAGAAATGCTCCAAAAATTATAAAATCCCAACGAGACCAAAAGAATGCAGAGACAAAATTCCATAGTCTCTCTGATATTCCATCTGTGCAGTTTTTCCACAGCACACTCTTTTAGGAGACCTTTACAGATTAACCCCTTAGGTGCCAGATGTACATCAATTTATGACCATCTAAAAATTTTCACAAGAAGCAACAGTGAATAAGTTACAGAGCAACAGGGAAAAGGGAGAGAGAAATGACAGCCCAGAGTTCCAGCAAGGGAGGAGCCTCACCTCATGGTGCGAGGTGCCTGTGGGAAGATCAGACAGTTATGCTTCTGGCTGCTCCGTGCTGACCCTGAGAAAGTGGCCTCATCCCCCTGCTCCTCCTGCCAGGAGCTGTTTGTCTTGTCTCCTGCAGACTCCAAGGCCACACGTCCCACGCTCAGCAGCTGCAGGGGCCAAGACTGCTCAGAGTCACCCAGCAACCACCACCAGAGTGAGAGGGAGCAGCACTGAAACGGTGCCATCCCAGCTGCACTCAGGGCAAGGAGTAACTGCAGCAAGGGGGGCAGAGACACTGAGGGGCAGAGGCTGCTCAGGGTCCTGAAAGCACATTTACAGCCTGTGGAATGGCAAAGCCTGGCACACAAGGCCCTCTCCTTCAACAGTTCCTCGCAGGGCTGGGGTGTTGCTTTATTTGTACGTCAGGGTTTTCTAACCCTTCACCTTGGGGGGGGTGTCACTTGGACCTCCTCAGGATCATAGAATAACAGAATATTCTAAGATGGAAGGGACCCACAAGGATTATTGAAGTCCAACTCCTGACAGCACTTCTCTAATTTCTCTGCTGCTCATCGTTCTCCTCACTGCAATTCCTTTTGCTCTTCAACCTCTTTGCCCTCTCTTTCTTTCTTCCATTCTTGTTTTTCTTTTCACCTTTTCTTTTGCCTCCATAAACTCAGGCTGAACTTTCTCCATCCCAAGAAGGTTCTCAAAACAAACAGGAGCTTGTGAATTATTAACAGTGTAGACTAAAAATAGCATAATTTTTAGTGACAGCCAGACCTCTGAGATGCAGGTACTATTGCACAGATCACCTACCTTGGACTTGGTGTGACTGGCCCTAATTGTTCCTAATTTGTCAGGAGTGCTTTATAGAATGACGACTATGAGGAAGAGGAACACAACTTGTGGGCCTTAGAAAGCCCGACTGACTGAGTCAAAAAGATTTCAACAAAGCTGATTAAGAAATACACAACCACAGCAAAAGTCCTTTCACTTGTGAAAGCTTATTGCAGTGTGGAGAGCCTTGCTGGAGAAAGATGGCACCAAGTTTGTGAGCTTCCCAGCTGAACAGCCCTGTGCAGGCTTGGCAGCCGCACCCCTGAAGGAGGTTAAGGGAAAACCCACAAATGAGTCACCCTGGCAGCCCTGCAGGGCCCGGCAGCCTGACACTGCTCCGGGCCATCCTGCCCTCCTCAGCAACGCCCCGCCCAGGGAGAACACAAAATCAGCCCGTGCAGGTCACAACGCAGCAAGAGTCCCCAGAAAGGAAAGTGTGGCTTCTTGATCTCCTCAAGTTTTGACTGAATTCTGGAGAGGCACATTTTACTGGGCAGGGATGAGTTGGCAGCTTGCAGATAGAACCCAGCTTTCCATCTCTCCTGCTCTGGCTTCAGACACAAGACAAAGGCCCTTCCAGCCAGGCCTGAAAAGAGAAGGTGCCAGTGTCCCCAGCACAGCCTGTGACACCAAACAATTTCTAGTACACTTGCATATCTCAATTTCCCTTTATGTCCATAACACACAAAATGTGGACGGGAAAGTTCAAGGACTGGCTGTTGGATCCCAGTGTAGTAAAGGCTGGAAATCCTTACTGTTTGAAGGTATGTGAAGTTAGATTAATTTATATTCCTATGTAAAAAAAGCAGACTAAATGACCTAATCATCTCTTCTGGCCGGTGCGGGCAGGGCCGGTGCGGGCGGGCAGGGCGGGCAGGGCCGGTGCGGGCGGGCAGAGGCTCCGGCCCCGGGCGGAGCGTGCCCGGCCCGGCCCCCGCCCCGCCCCGCCGCCTCCCCGCCGCCATCTTCGCCGCCGAGCCCGCCGGTCCCGCTCGCAGCGCCGCCGCCCCGCAGGCCGCCCGTCCATGGCCAGCTTTCCCCCGAGTGTCAACGAGAAGCTCATCGGTGAGCGGGGGGTGCGGGGGCAGCGCGGCCCGGGCTCGGCTCACACGGCGCTGCCCGCCGGGGACGGGCGGGATCCGGCACATGGAGCCTTTCCCGGCCGTGGGAGCGGGCGGGGGCGGTGGGGCCGATCCCGGGAATGCGGTACCGACGATCCCGGGGATGCGGTGCCGATGATCCCGGGGTGCGGTACCGATGATTCTGGGAATGCGGTACCGATGATCTCTGGGTGCGGTGCCGATGATCCCGGGGATGCGGTGCCGATGATCCCGGGGTGCGGTGCCGATGATCCCGGGGTGCGGTACCGATGATCCCGGGGATGCGGTACCGATGATCCCGGGAATGCGGTACCGACGATCCTGGGATGCGGTACCGATGATCCCGGGGTGCGGTACCGATGATCCCGGGAATGCGGTACCGATGATCCCGGGAATGCGGTACCGATGATCCCGGGAATGCGGTACCGTCGATCCCGGGGTGCGGTACCGATGATCCCGGGGTGCGGTACCGATGATCCCGGGCATGCGGTACCGATGATCCCGGGGTGCGGTACCGATGATCCCGGGATGCGGTACCGATGATCCCGGGATGCGGTGCCGATGGTCCCGGGAATGCGGTACCGATGATCCCGGGGTGCGGTGCCGATGGTCCCGGGGTGAGGCATCCCCCCCAGCACAAGCAGGAGTGCAGCGCCCCGTGTTTCTCCTCAGTGACCCGGTCGCTTTGGCAGCCCGGGCGCAGCCCTGGGATCGGTTACTCACTGACATAAGACCCCGCTCTCGATGACTTTAAATGGCGTGGAACAAAGCGGGCCGAGGCACTGCCTGGTTCCCTGGTTCCCTCTGTGACACGCTGCCTTTTTCTCACCTGCGTTTCCCCTTTGTTCCCCCAGCACGGTCCCGCACGGTAGGAGAGCTCCTGGCCCCCACGGCTCCCTTCGACAAGAAGTGTGGGCGGGAGAACTGGACGGTCGCCTTCGCTCCCGATGGCTCGTACCTGGCGTGGTCGCAGGGACACCGCATAGTGAAGCTGGTCCCCTGGGCACAGTGCCTCAGTAACTTGTAAGGCAAACCTCTGTGGCTTCTAATGCACCTGGAAAACAGGAGATAGGTTTAAATGGATTAAAATGCATATAGTGGCTTTTTAGGCTCTGGCACCTTGGGGAAAAACTATTTCCTTAAAGTAACAGCTGTTGTTTCATCTCTTCCTCTGTGGCCAGCAAGAGCATCAACTATTGCAGCCTCACCAAGTCTGTGGAGGAGGGATTTATCAGTAGTTTCAGATGCCCTAAAGTAAGAGGAAGTTTGAATGAAAAGGGAAGTTAGAGACCTGGGCAGATCTGGGCCTTTAAATTTCCCATCACAAAGCTGTTTGGCTTTACCTTTTAGGAATTTACTTAAAGGCAGACCTCTTTCCTTATCATCCATCTTAGAATGCAGGTGAAGTTCCAAAACACATTTTGTTGGCACTTGAAGGTTGCATTTTAGTGAAGTTGGTAACCAACCACTACAGTTCTGTAGCTGGTTACAATTTCCTGACCCTTTTCCCCCTGCCTTCTTGGGGTGGTTAATACTTTCCGTGTCCTGACCTCAGTATCTCTTCCCAGGGTTTAACACATATAAGGGAATTGCAGGGAACTTGCTCATTTAGCAGAAAGTCTTAGAAATTTTTGCGACTCACTTTTCTATAACTACTTTAAAACTGTTTGCTTTCATAGCAGGTTAAGTTAATACCTTGCTCTCTACAGAGATAAAAATGAGTACAAAATATTAGCATTATATCATGTAGGAAGGTTTCCAGGCGCTGGTAATTTTTCACAGTTAAAAAACCTGCATTTATAATTTTAAAGTAAAAATGCCCCATTATGGGTCTCAGAGATGTCTCTACATTATGACAGCTCAGAGATTTCATTACATCTTTAAGAAATTCTTGCTTTCCAGGATAACTTAGGCTATATTTTTGTATTTTCCGTGTGTTTTGCAGTTTGCTGCACGGCACAAAGAATGGTGCAAACCCCGTCGGCACAAGGCTCCCGAGGCAGAACAGTGAGAGCGGGCAGAAGAACAAGCCCTGCGAGCACGTCATCGACTGCGGGGACATCGTGTGGAGCCTGGCCTTCGGCTCCTCGGTGCCGGAGAAGCGGAGCCGCTGCGTCAACATCGAGTGGCACCGCTTCAAGTTCGGGCAGGACCAGCTGCTCCTGGCCACCGGCCTCAACAACGGCCGCATCAAGATCTGGGATGTCTACACAGGTGGGTGTGGAGTCAGCACAGCCTGAGCTGGCAGGGACCCACGGGGATCATGGAGTGCAGCTCCTGGCCAGGCACAGAACACCCAGACAGTCCCACCGTGTCCCTCAGAGCATTTTGCAGGCACTCCTCGTCACGCTGACGTGCCAGCTAATGACTATTGAGTAATTTGCTGTTACCTTGTAAATTGAAGCTTAGAACAGGAATGTCTGTCAGGAGCCAAGTCTTACCTTCTTCCTGAGTTTCTAGTGTACAGATTTTCTGGCTTTTTAGGGAGTTGCCTCTTGATCCAGGAGAGTGAAGGGATTCACATGCTGCTCACCGTAGGGAGCATTTCTGCAATGAAAATTGACTTTATGTGCTGTAATTTTGTATTCAGTGTTTGTATCCATAAAGCATTTGATCTGAATAAAAGTACAGTCCATCATGTTAAACTGTGGTGTTCTCATGTGACAGGAAAACTCCTCCTGAACCTGATGGACCACACGGAAGTTGTCAGAGATTTAACCTTTGCCCCTGATGGCAGCCTGATTTTAGTGTCTGCATCCAGAGACAAAACCCTGCGGGTGTGGGACCTGAAAGATGACGGTTTGTGCTCAGAGTTATCTGCTCTAAAACCTGGGAGAAATATCTGTGTGCTTGCCTCTTTCATCACCATAAACTCAGTTTGGTCAGGATTGCTTAAATAATCAGTGCAGCTCTGTTAGTCACCCCCTGTACACTCTCTTGGAATTCTTTATCTGTGTGTACCCTGAAGGGAGAATCAGGGACTGGGCTAAGTTGAGTGCGTGGAGTGACTCTCTGAACAGGGACATGGGATTTAGAGGCTGCATCACAGGATTTTTATTTCTGTGTTCAACGATTCTGCAAGATGTTTGGAAAAATACTACAAAATTTTACATAGGAATAACTAATTTGGAAAAAGCTTTTCAATGTGAATTTTGTCATATCAAACCAACTCTTACAGCAGTGTCTTTCTTTGTAGGAAATATGATGAAGGTGTTGAGAGGCCATCAGAACTGGGTGTATGGCTGTGCATTCTCGCCAGACTCCTCCATTCTCTGTTCTGTTGGAGCTAGTAAGGCAGTATGTGTCAGAGTTTCTTGTTCCTTAAATTTGAATTGCGTGCATAATCATTTTAAATCTAAGTAACATTAAGCTTGTGCTCGGTGTCATGAACTTCTAATGTTTGATGATGATGTAAAAGTGCATGAAATTAGACTGGCAAATGGTGCATTGAGACCCTGATTTGTGAATGAAACTTGCACTGCTTTTAGTTGAAGAGGCTGTAAGTGTTCCTTGAGAAATAGGTCTGCACATCTGCATGGGGTCATGGCAAAGACAACTAAAGCTGCCAGTGTTAAAAGATACTTAGATTAATGCATAAAACTATTTTGATTTGATTTTATCCTTTCTATTTCCTGCTCAGTGAGGACTTTTCAAAGTCTGAGCCAGTCAGGGTATCTCCTGCTGAACAAAAAAACGTTTCCCCCTGTTTTCCCATCCCAGTGGCACAAGAGTTAGAAGGAGGAGCAGCACACTAGCTTTGTTTCCATCCCATCCTAACGCTAGAGAACTGGAAACAGTGAGGGTGTGCCATGAGCTACTCTTGGCACTCAAGAATCGGGGCAAACCAGAAAGGGGGATTGAGCCTGGTTCCAGGGGCTCTGCAGGCAGTGTAATGGAGTGAAAAGCCCAGTGCAGTCACCACTTGTGCAGATGAGCGCTCAGATGTGTTCCATCCCTTGAGTTCCCAGTGCAGATCTGGAGAACAGCTGAGGTGTGGGGTTTGGCTCTGTAGCTGGAGCAGAGGGGGGGTGTACATTGCTGTCTGTAGGCTGTGTGTTTTCCATAAGCTTCTTGCTTTCCCTGTCACAGGTGGTGGCAGCAATATTGGTGTGATTGAGTTAAGCTGGCCCCACTGGAGCACAGTGGTGTTAGCGGGGCAGAGAGGGGCATGTCTGGCCGCCAGCCCGGGCGCGCTGTACCGTAGGACGAAGTAACCTTGCCCTCGGCTGCAAGGGGTCCTGTACGTACGCAGGTGCTGGTCCATGTCCACTGTCTGCTTGCTTGCTTGCTTTCCTTTTTTTTTTTTCCCTTTTTTTTTTTTTTTTTTTCCTTTTTTTTTTTTTTTTAATAATTTTCACAGCAGTGAAACACACTGACTCCTCAAACTTAGTTCCCATGTTATGGAATGTTGGGGGCTCCTCGGAAAAATTGGTCACCACATTTATGACTGATTGTAAAATGGTTCAGTTTTAGGAAGTGTGGGAGGCACTAAGGCTGTGTTTGCTTTGGTCAAACGTAAATTTATCCAAGATGTCAGAATTTAATCTGTGCAGTAAAACTCTTTGGGGGAGGGGGGGAATGAAGGTCTCTGAAATGAGCTCTTTGAGGGACGTAACAGCTTTTGTTAAAGACATTCCTATAAAATCGTGCCGCAGTACGTGGATAGTTCCTATTAAGTAATTCTGCACAGTCTCTATTCTGATTATATATAATGTACAACTGCATGTAAAATCCCAGAATATTGTAGTATTTTATCAGTTCTTATAATACACTGTGCAATTAGCCGGGTAAATTGTAATATTAATGTTGTTTGTTACTGTTGATTTAAAATGCCTAAATTCTTTCTAATAATGTGGTTAGACTTCCCTGTTGTTTTGCCAAAGACATAACTTTTGGCTGTGAAAATTCTTTTTGCTTGCAGTATCTGTTTCTCTTCCTAGGCTGACGTTGGTGATCCAAGCAATTGTAAACAAGTGATCTTAAAGGGATGCCACTGGAGTAACAATATGTTAACCTTACATTTTCTGTCTGTATATTTCTTAAAATTTTGGTAGTTACTGAAAAGAGGGGACTGTAGAGTTTAACCCTATTTATTTCTGCATATTTTAATAAAATAGTTTTGTAATACATGAATTTCAGTAAGCTACATGGTTAAATTGTGTTGCCTTTATCATATATTTTGGCTTATTTTGATAATAACATTTAACAAACTTGAGTTAGAACTTGCATGTCTGCTTTAATTATTTAAAAAAAAAAAACCTTGATTTTAATCTGAGTATGACACTGAGCATATTTCTTAATTGTAATAATTCATAATACTTGATTTTAATATAATCCTAAGTAAGATTAGTTATACTTAAAAACAAATTAAATGCTGCACCGCCTCTCTGAGCAGAGCTATAACATCAGCTTATTTAATTGCAGGTTTTCCTCTGGGATATGGATAAATACTCCATGTTACGGAAACTTGAAGGACATCACAATGATGTTGTAGCTTGTGATTTCTCTCCTGATGGAGCATTACTGGCTACTGCATCTTATGATACTCGAGTCTATATCTGGGATCCACATATTGGAGTTATTCTTATGGAATTTGGGTAAGTAAAGCAGTCAAATCTGGAAACTCTCACAGAGTGCAGATGAAAATCAGTGGGTTTCTGTATGTAACTGGTGATTGGACTTAGGAAAGAGCAGTGGCTGATGGAGACCCTGAAGTGGCAGAGACTGGAGATTGTTCTTCCATCTGAGAGGGAATTTACAGCACTGGTACTGTCATGTGTACTAATTCAGGCATCTTCAACAACGCTGAAGTGTTGAGTGCTGTGAAAGACAGGGTTCAGTCTCCACTCCCGAATCCACAGTGCAGTAGTTCAGTACTCAACGTTCCATCCGTTTTAGTTCCTCAGCTTTGCCGTGGTGGCTGAGGGGACCTTGCCCAGTCCCCAGAGCTGCTGTCAGCTGTGTGTCCCTGTCCCCAGGCACCTGTTCCCCGCTCCCACGCCGATATTCGCCGGCGGCGCCAACGACCGCTGGGTGCGAGCCGTGTCCTTCAGCCACGACGGGCTGCACGTCGCCAGCCTGGCCGACGACAAGTGAGTGGCACGAGGGCTTTGGGAGACCTCTCGGGCTCTAAACTCCCAGTACTGTCAGGGCTGGGCTTTTTAACTGAGAAATGACTTCTGATGCTCTTGGTACAAGCAGACGGGTTGTCTGGTATACGGCAATACTGATTCTGAATGCAGAAGGCGTTAGTTGTGTACAGAGCAGATGATCTGAACAACTTCGGTGTGTAACAGCTGAAAACAACTGAGAGGGATTGTAAATGGAGTTGTTAATGCAGACCAGTCTTGTGGACAGAAGTAAATTCCAAAGCACAGGGAAGAGTGTTCTGTGATTTGGATTCAACTCTGCAAACATCACAAGTGGTGTCCTGAAGAACTGTATTTTAAGAATGTGAACTGCTTTCTCAAGATGACAGCAAGGGTGTTCAGCTATCTATAGGAGGGTTTATTTTTTTAATTAAGACAAGGATTGTTGGCAGTTCCTTGCATGTGTGACACTTGAGTCTATTAATCTAAATCCAGTTCAGATACTGCTTTCTGTTATTGAAGGCAGTCTTTTTCTTAATTGATAAAGTACAGAGCAAGGTATTTATCAGGAAAGAAGAAATCAGAGCATTTCAGGCCAGGCCTGAAACACTGTATGCCTATGAAAATATTCATAAAAATTCCCTGAGCCGTGCTTCAGACTAGTTTCTTGTGCAGCATCAGAGATAATACCCAATAGAATTAAATACCTAGTCCAGTAACTTCCTACATTGTCCTTCCCTCTCAGAATGGTGAGGTTCTGGAGAATTGATGAAGAATACCCTGTACAAGTTGCACCTCTGAACAACGGGCTCTGCTGTACTTTCTCTACTGATGGCAGTGTTCTTGCTGCAGGGCAAGTATAGACTTTGGTTTCCTTTCTAAAATACTAAGATAGCACAAAAGGTTGAAAACAGTGGCTAAGTGTTCTAAGAATCTTCAGTTGTGATTTGCAGCTTGGTGCTCCTGACTGATACTATTTGTTTAAACATACCTGGAATAGCAGTAAAATCAATAAGCTGATAAACTCATGACTTATCTTTGAAAATAAATACGAGAGAGACCCAAAACATGTGGCTTGGAAGAAGCCATCAGATAGCCAGGGGCAAGAACCGCTGGGAGATCTGCGCAGGCCTGTTGCATAGACAAGTTGCTTATTGTGCTGCTGTAGCTTAAACTAAGAGCTGGCATGCGGTGTAAATGAGACTGGAACAGCTGGAGCGGACTAACAGCAAGTCCCCTGCTAGAAATGCAGGTGAGAGGCGGTGCTGGGGGAGCTCGGGCCGCGGCCTCACGGTGTTTGTGCTGTGTTTGTGCAGGACGCAGGACGGCAGCGTGCACTTCTGGGCCACCCCCCGGCAGGTGGCCAGCCTGCAGCACCTGTGTCGCCTGGCCATCCGCAGGGTGATGCCCACCGGCCACGTCAGGAACCTGCCCATCCCAGCCAAGGTGGTGGAGTTCCTTTGCTACCAGATTTGATTTTTTGGAGAAGAAGAAAAAAAACCAATTCCAGCTGGCAAGTGGCCCAGGTGCTGAAAGTGGCTACAAACACTTCACAGGATCCTCAAACTGTACAGCCTTTAAGCTTAAAACTCTACAGGTTTTTCAAGAGCTATTTAAAGTGATAACCTAAATACTATTTTATCAAAATGCCTGACAGGTAATTTTTTTACTATTTATAGAAAACACAGTAGAAGTATTCCTGGTGTTCTCAATTTTCTAAGATGTAACTGTGAAAACATGTACATATATAGACATAAGCTGCTACATGTTATCATTGTACCTTTAAAAATTGCTTCCCTGATGTTTCCTGTGTCTCATGTTTATATTGCTTTGGTAGAGCCATGGTGCATCTATGCTGTAAGTGGAAGGAAAACTGTTATTCTGGGACGTTGAGGTAGGAAAATTATTGACTTACAGAGCAGTTAAGCTTCCTTCTGTATATTGGTTGGGGTCAGGAAACTGAGCCCAGGTCAGACTTTGTGCTAGTTTCTTTGTGAGGAGGTACAGCTTGGCTTTGTAGAGCAGTTTGTGTGTGCTGGTTTAAGAGTAAACTGGCAGGAGAAATGAACCCAGCTCAAGAGAGATTACAAGTCAGAGTTACAATTTACTAAAAAGATTACAATAAATAGAATGATACTGAGAAAAACTGGTTTTAACCCACAAGGACAGATGAGTAACCCAGCACCCTGGGACACGAACAGAACAGTGTTTGTCAACCCCTGTGCTGATACCACCTGGCCCCCATGGGTGCAGAGTAAAAGGACAGGAAACCTCTTGGTCCAGATGGTGGTCACAGTCCTGTTGGAGTAACGATGCCAGTCCTGCTGAGAGTGGCAGTCGCAGTCCTGTTGGGGTTCTGCTCCTCCTCTGGGTCCGAGGAGCGGTGCCAGAAGTCCCAGAGCCCAAAGGCTGTATATCCAGGTGGGAATGCCCAGCTCCTCCCCCAGGCCAGGGAGTTTCACAGTGGGTGATTTAACTGTGTGAGCCATGGGATGTTTTTGGACTCTGATGGTCTGGGTGCTGCAGGTGCTTGTTGTGCCAGTCCAGCGTGGCCCCTCAGCAGAGATGACCCCTCAGGCTGGGTCTGGAGGGGGTTGTCACAGCTGGGTATTGGTCCCAGGCCCCGTAACTAGGACAGTGTGGCAAAGGGAAGGAGGTCAGTAAGGCCTGGAGAGGATCTAATGTAACCCAGGACTGTGCCTGTGTCAGCTGAAGGCCTTGTGCTCCAGAGCAGCAAATCAGGTGAAATTTCAGTATTGGGCAGTGTTAAAGAACTATTTCCTTATATTTCTGAAAATCTGACTACTGTATTATTGCCTGATACTGTGTCTGTAATGAGAGGTTTACAGACTCAGTCTATTATCCTTTAACCCTGTAATATCTCTTTGGGGGTGATTATTGGTTTATGGCCAAAGATAAGCAAAATATTTGGTTTTGCCTTCTGTTATTTATCTGTACCTGCAGATATAAAGAATGTATGCATTGCATAAAATGCCTGATATATATTTTTGTTTAATTTTTTAATTAAAAACTTGTATAAAAGTTTTCTGATATCGCATCTGGTGACTGATTTATCAACACTGCCTGCAAGGAGGAAAGGGGAAACAGAGAGAGGACTGGTGAGAACAATTACTCATGAATTTACTGCCTATGGGTCAGTGGCAGAAGCTCTCCAGAGCTGCAGGGAAGCTTCCTAGTTCATAACCACCTGCTGCTTGTAGTGCAGTCCCTGGGATCAGCTGGAGCACCATGTCCTGCACTGTGTGCTGGGGACTTTGTCCCATCAGAGGCCCCAAAGTAAAAATGAAGTGGTTACAAATATTGCTACATCCACAAAGATTTAGCAGACAGCTGTGATTTTTATAAAGAGAAGAGGACTTTAAAAGCAAGGAAGAAAACGTTCACTTAGACTTGAAAACAGCTCTGCCTGATGAAGTAAATAATTATTCTACACTGTTGGAACAACACACAGGAAATGTGCTGTGGCCATTACCATTGAGTGTTCAGCCAGGACTGAAGGGAATAAACTGCACCCCTAGAATGCTCTGAAGATGGGTGGGAGCAGTCTGAAATACACGTTGCTTTCCCCCTGGTGTAACTAGTCTGGCCTGCTTAAAAACAACTCATAAAGAGAAAACTGGAACTGAGCAAAGCAGCACCTTTGTGTTGATGTGCTGTTTAGCTGGGGCTGAGCACAACTGGATTTACGTCTTTCAGGAAAAGGGGAGGATGCAAGAGCTTGCAAAATTTCCTGAGAGGAGCAGGAGTGTAAAGCAAGGAGAGCTAGATAGACACAAATAAATAATTGAGAATCACTGGGTCAGAAGCTCTTTTAAAAGGAAAGATGTTAACCACACAAAAGCCTTAGACAGGGTAGTCAAAATAGTCCAAAAGAATGGAAATTGCTAATTCACTGAGGAGGACTTTGGTCATTCACTCTGTGGCCAGGCAGCCGTATTAGGAAGGTCGAGGGGAGCTTGGGGCTTTGTTGTTACTGATCATCAGTCCCATCAGCAATGCAGATGAGGTGTTTCATGGGGGCAGGCCATGGCTCTGCTGGAGATCTGCTCTGCTCCATTCTCTGTGCCCTGGCAGGATAAAGCCTCAGTATCCCCACGACACCCAGTTTCTGTCACCTGCACCCCAAGCCCTGCTTTGGCAGACTCGGCCCAGATCTGTTCCCAAACACAGACCTGGTTCCTGTGTCCCTGCTTACCCTGCAGAGGCACCTCCACAGCACGGCAGGAACGACAGCTCTGTCACATTGGGCACTGTGCAGTTACAGGAAAATTAGGACAAGGCGATCAGGAGTCCAAGATGATCCAGAATAAATTGCATTTCATAAACGTTGCCAACTTTGAGAGAGACTTTTTTTTATTTTAGAACACTTTGCTTTTCAAGCTGCATGTCCCTGGATTTCTTCCCTTCTTCCTCATTTTCCTGTCACACTTGAGCCTTGGTCTATAACCAGGACTTGTTGTGGCTGCCACAGTACAAAGAAGAAAATAAGTGAAATCCTGTAATCCTGTTTTCTGTATAAGCCAAGTGTTTCCCTGGTAGAGGCTGACCTACTGCTGACTCTGTATTTACACACCCCTCTCTGCCTCCAGCATTCAGCCAGTGCTTTCCATCGTGCCACGCCTGTCAGCACAGCCTTCAGGGCTGAGCTGGTGGGGCCAGGCAGCTGCTCAGGGAGCTCTCACAAAAGCCATGACAGTGTTAGAAGCATGTGTGAGCTGCCAATCTGTTTGAGCACTTCCCTGAGCTGAGCTAAAAGCTGGGCTTGCCAAGGGCCCGTTTCTGCAAGACCACAGTTCCTGGCTCAGCAAGGATGATTTCAGTGTGGGGTCCTGCAGGAGAGGCTTATTGAAAGGTCCCCTCAGGTTGTGTTCACCAAAGGGTCTGATTTAGGGAAGTGGAGGAAGAAAACAACATCCCTGCTTCCACCCTTCACCAGCTCCAAATGCTGTTTCCCAGCTACTCCGAAGGAAACCCTCCACGCTGCTTCTCCCAGCCCTGCCTGCAGCAGTCACTCTGTTTGTTCTAACCTTTCTCCCAGGACACAAATGATACTTTTAGGCTAAGTACACAAGCTTACCTCATTAGTGAGGCTATTTATAATAATGTAAAATGTTTACAAGCCTCTTCCTGCCACAGTGGGACACCACAAGGGGAGGCTCCCACTGCCTGATCTGCAACACCTCCAGGAGTTCCCAGTTCTGCCCACGGTCTGTACTTGGGCCCATCAGCAAGGCCAGGCACACAGCTCCTCCCAGAGCTACACAAATAACTTCCCAAATCACACAGTGCTCGTGTCCCTCAGAGCACCACAAGACTCGAGGGCCAGTTACACTTTGCAGACAGACCTAGTGCTCTTCTGGGAATCTAACAGCAAAAGACTCATTTCTGATCAGTGAGTATTTATCCTCCCTTCCTTCTGCTCACAGCAGCACTTTCTGACAGACCTGGATCTCTGAGCAGCACAAACTTTGAGGACTGCTCCTCTCGTTTCCAAAGGAAAGCCAATATTCTGCTGCCCTGGAAAAGCCTGTGCTCTGCCTGCCTGATCTCTTTCACACAGCACTAAAATGGATAGGTTGGATTCCCCATTTACGGTGTAAATTGCACAGAGCTGAGCAAGAGCTCCATCCTGAGGCCATCCCGGCTGGCCCTCGGGTGAGGGGAGGGGGAAGGAGGGCCCAGGATGCCGGGACAGCTTGGGAACCGGTGCCAGTGACCACCCACCCTGGGAGCCAGGGGACAGAGTGGCCTCTGCCTAAAGCACTGGGTGCTGGGGATGCCTGAAACTGCCTGGGAGAGAAGCAAGCCCTGGAGAAAACTGGAGCTTCAGACAGAAGGAAGTTACTTCTCTGGAATGTTCTGAAAGCCCACATTCATATATGGCATTTTAGTTGAATCACAACCGAACGACACTGCTAAGTATTGTGTGGGGTTTATTGTTCCAATACTAAATGAGGACTTTCCATTAGAGCAGTTTAGAAATAGGGTGGATGAATCCCATGACCTTTTCCTTAGATACTGCAATATTCTCATAAAGGACAGAGGTTATGTAAGATCCCATGGGAAATCTGGTAAAGGTGTCAGGCAGAAACTGTTTATCCAAGTAATTATTTCAGATTAGAACCACCTGAGTAAGGCAGACGGGGTTTCTGTGGGATTCTGGCTTCTGCACAAGGACGAGTTTGTTTTACAAACACAGCTCGGCACCCAAACCCCGCTGCAATGAGCTGGCTCAGAACAGCCCTCATTATTGATGTACTAGAACCGAAAGAAAGCCAGAGTAAACTTTAGTTGAGTCATGATAACAGGATTAGTTATCAGCAAGGTTATGCCTTGTGTAAGTAGCTAATTCCAGACAGAAATTCTGGGGCAGATATGATTTATTTCTAACATGAGATTAGAAGCTCCTGAACACTCACTGGTATTCCAGCTGGCTCAGTTCTGTGTTGCAACAAGGAGAAAAATGTTTATTTATGGGCTCTAATAAGAGTTACCTGACAGAACTCATGATCCCATCTCTCTCTGAGCTCACTTAGCCTACACAAACCACAAAACATTAAAGACAGCTCCAGCTGCCCCATGCACACGAGGTGAGGAACTTTCCTCATTTAATTGGAGAGTGCTGCCCACTTCTTTGGGGGTGTGACACACAACTGCATCTCACAGCTGTGAAGTTCAGGACGACTTTCCACTCATGTGTAAACCAAGGACAGTTCCTGCCTGTGTGGTTCTCCCATACATGGAAAGAAGAGAATGGAAGCAGAAATGCTTCAAGGAGACCAAATGTGGTCCCACTACAGCCCTCTGTATGGAGTATCTGCTTTACCTGCTGCTTCTGAACCCAGCACAGAACGGCCACTCCTTCCTGAGGACAGCGGAGTGCAGGAGAGCAGTGTAACTAAACCACCGAGCCTGGACTGGTGGGTCCTTCTCTGTCACCTCCTGCTTCAAAAGGCAAGCACCTCTTTGGGAAATTATCTTAGCTTTCCACATCAATTGTAATAAAAATCTTGCACCAGAACAAATAGCAGGATGGAAAATATAAATTCTATGGAAAAAAAAATTTATCGGTGTACATTATTAACAGTGTAAATTCACACCTTCCTGGGCACCTGCACAGGAGCCATTTAGGTGTTTTGATGATACTATTAATTATTGACCAGCTCCTTGTGGTCCCAGCAGAAGGAACTAGTCCAGAGGAAAGATTTAAAAGAGAAATATTGCTTCATCTTAATTGCATCAGGGGAAAGAAAAAAAGATTCCAAGGTCCACTGCAGATAACAGCAGTGAGAAGAGTTTGGGAAGCACTTTGATCCTGATGTGGCATGTCACAAGACTCAGGTACGTGTTTGCTGCTGTCCCAGAGCAGGGAGCTGTTCTGGTTTTTGTGAGGTCTTGGCACGTAAGGAAAAGCAGCAGCTGAGAAGCTCCCCCTGCAGCTCCCAGCAGTTGTGCCACACAGCAGACCCCTCCAAGGGCTGTGGCCACCTGGCCTCAAAGGGAGGATTCTCATGTGCCAAGTGCTTTTACTGACACCCATCCCAAAGGCTCCCTGAGTTCTAACACTCAGTGAAGCAGCTGCAATTAGCACACTCAGGAGAACAAAGGAGAACTAAGGGGGTGGCACGTTTTTTTTCAGTAGTTGTATAAATCACCTGCAGTTTGCCATTTCTCTGATCTCAGTGCTCTCATAGATGAGGCTGATCTGCTGCCTAGAGAACCTCTTTCCTGACTCTACTCCAACACATTACAAATAAAAATCTAATTAAACAGAGCCCATCACGTCAGTAATCTGAGCAACAACTGACCAGGCCCTAATGAGGCATATTCACAGTGAAGACTTGCAATAAAGTGAGGGAAATCTGTATATATGTGGGTTGATGTGGGGGTGAGTCCCTCCATCCGTGTGCCTGTGTGTCACACACGTGGTGGTGCCCAGCTCACTGCCAAGGTTTCCTCTGGAGCCTGGGAAAAGCTCAGTGCTCACACTGTGACTGGCACGATGACAGTGTTTGTGCAAGGGTGCTGAC